TTCCAGCTATACTGCAGGAGGAAAAGCAGAATCAGCTCAGGCTCTGCTTACTCTCCTGACACAACCAGAGAGCTTAGGACAGAGTTTCATTAGATTGATTCACCCTTCAGTTGACAACTCAAGCAAGAATTCAAGGTCCATCCATAGTCCCAGGGAGATGGAGAAAGCAAGGCAGGGAAGGAGCCACAGCACAGAGGGAGATAGGAAAGCCAAATTAACAATGCCCATCCTAGTGTGTTCCAAAGCACTCACTGGAAAGACAACCACAGCACTATGGCCTGTAGTGATGACAGTAACTGACAGTTCCTACTGCCCCCTCATGCTTCACCTCCCATATTCTCTTTGTAATGGGATCACTTTCCTTTTGCATTCCCCCAAGCTGTAATGAGCTCACACGTCTCCCTGGAGTGCTTGCTGATACTCCTTGTAACAACATCAGGCTGATGACCAAAGGGAACAGGATCACTGCTTGAGTGATTTCCCACACAAAGTCACAAGACCCCCTGAGTTCAGGCTTAGCCCCTGAGCAGCCCTTCAGAGGTGAGTTACAGGACCATGAACCCCTTCCAGAACTGAAGCCTTGGACAAACACTGTCTGGAGGTGGAGGCTGTGTTGGTTTTGCCTTTCTGCATCTGTTCAGAACACCACAGTCACGATGTTTAATAACTAAATAACAAACATCAGTAGCATGTCAACATTCCCTTCGAAATTAGGCTCAAAAGGAGGAGGTCAACAGCAGCCCACCACATCTGCACGTGTTGCATTCCTTTCCCCATCTGCGTCTTCCCACTGGCAAGAGGGGAGAAGGCAGAATTCAAAATGAACGTAACTTTGTGTGATGGATTTAGCATGTTTGAATACAAATGACAACTGCTCCACCGGTCACTGCAGGAAGACACAAGAGCATCAGCACAGAGATGGGAGGTGGGCTGTTGTGGAGAGAGACAGAGAAGGAAAAGTGTAAGCAGTAACCTCACAGGGTCTATGTCAACCATCCCTCAAAGGGTTTCATAGCGACTGTGCTCAGTTAACAGGTAAAAGATGTTCATTTGTTTGGTGGGTGCTGTTGGGTTTGTATCTACTAGCCTGAGGAACAGGAGATGAATGACCTTGCAGTAGAAAGAAGGAAACATTTCTGTACCAGTGTTCCGTCTCCCCATGTACCTTCACAGTGTGCTATATACAGCTATTTTGTGTGTGATATGTATGAAATACATAATATTACAGCTTGGTTTATGAAACTGCTTTTTATGGCTCCCAGATCTTCAGCAAATGTACAAATAAATATGAAAGAGAGAGGGAATATGATGCACATACACAAAGCAAAGCAAATACCAAAATGGGATAGCAGCAGTCTGCTAACTGGATGGCGAGAGCCAAACTCATCAGCATCCAGATATTTCACAAACCCTTGCCAATAGACTAAATAGAATTCCATAGGCCAGGTGTCAGTGATTATAATCCCACTGATGCCAAGAGAGTTGCTCCCATTTACAGCAAGCCTGGCTTTGGCCCTGTCTCTGTAGTACAAGGAATAATTCATGAAGCGTAAGCTTGCAAAAGCAGCCACACCAAGTGTACCTGCAACTCCCTTAGCTGCAGTGGAAGGACCCAGCACAGGGCAGCTCTCAGCTGCCTGTGTTCCTTTGTTATACCCTAGAAACCTCATGGAGCTTAAACCAACCACAAACACCAGCCCTGCTCCCACGTGGAGTGATGGGAAAAGAAGAACCTGCATAAATACCTGGGCATGACATTTCAAGGGCAGTTCTGCCACAGAAAACAAGTGATTTATCATAGAATCCCAAACTGGTTTGGATTGAAGGAACCTTAAAGCTCACCCAGTTCCAACCCCTGCCATGGGCAGGGACCCCTTCCCCTAGAGCAGCTTGCTCCAAGCCCCTGTGTCCAACCTGGCCTTGAGCACTGCCAGGGATGGGGCAGCCACAGCTTCTCTGGGCACCCTGTGCCAGCGCCTCAGCACCCTCACAGGGAAGAGCTTCTGCCTAAGAGCTCAGCTCAGTCTCCCCTCAGGCAGGTTCAAGCCATTCCCCTTGCCCTGTCCCTACATCCCTTGTCCCAAGCCCCTCTCCAGGTTTCCTGCAGCCCCTTCAGGCACTGGAGCTGCTCTAAGGTCTCCCCTTCAGGAGCCTTCTCTTCTCCAGGCTGCCCCAGCCCAGCTCTCTCAGCCTGGCTCCAGAGCAGAGCTGCTCCAGCCCTCGCAGCATCTTTGTTCATGAATGAGATGAGCTCTAACCCCAAAATCACCCCTGTGAATGCACTAGGCATGCTCACACATTCTCAGGCCCCACTCAGGAGCCATTCATTATCACCCAACTGCCAGCAACAGAGTATGTTCAGGCATCCTTCCCAGGTTAAAATGGAGCTAAGCCAGTAGTTCTCCTCTGAAAGACACACCATTTTGGACACCTTGGCTGCTTAGAGGATGTGTGGGGTAGACATGTGAAAGCAGGCTATCATTTGAAAAACATCACTGAGAAAAGGAAAATCAATAAAGTCATAACCAGTGAGTCCTGAAACCCCTCCTGCCTGCCCTCACGTTAGCAACCAGACCCTCTTCTCCCCTATTCATGGTCTTTGTTAGGGGGAGAAACGCACTGAGGCCAGTGACTGACAAGTCAGACCACAGGAGGATGGGCCTGAGCTAGGACCCACTTTAGAAAACAACACTTTTCCTATTCCCTACAAGTACATACTTCTGGGTAAATGAGTAAATAATGACATGTTTCATCTTCTTTTTCCCCCCTAAATATAAAAGCTCTCCACTGCTGAAGCCACTACAAGGATTATTTCTTCTCACCATTTTTAAGTACTGTACAGTGCATATCTATCCTTTTACAAGTGGAACCTCGTAGCTATGGAGACGAAGAATGTTACATCCAAGCTGAAGATAGTATTTCAGTGGGGGCCTTATGGTTGCTACATGTGCCTTCAATGATCCGCTGTGTTCTGTCTCCTGAAGTCTTCTGCAACAGTCATACCAAGCCACCGCACAGTCACAACATACAGTCACAGCACTATCATGTGCACTACAGTCTTCCTGATCTATAACCTAACCAAGGATCCCACAGACAGCACAATAAACAGCTTGAGTCGAGCTTAATGCCACCTGAACAGAGCAGTGGAATAAAGCTGTTCTGGAAAGCAGGCAGACTGGGGTCCCCTTGTGTTTAATGCTGGGTCTAACAGTCGAGATGCAGAAATGACACCACACTGACCTTCTGTTATAGACATTCTCCAGCTTTTCATCTCTCTGCCGTAGCCCAAATTACCCCAATCTCAGTCACCCAAATGACATCACACATTCCCTGTCTCTGTGCGCTACCATCGCGATCTGAATTTCATTACAGGGGATGGTTTCATGAAATGGACTTTCAGTTCTGTGTGCGAATTCAGCTGTCTGCGCATCACCTTGGTGTAAATTAAACAGCAGTTTAGCCAAGCTAATGAAACTTCAGCAGTGTTCAACCTGAGCATGAAGAGGAGACAGCCCTTCAGGTCAAATTAATGCTCCCTGTGACAGCCAGTGAAAATGCAAACTAACCCAGATAGCATCACTTACTTCGCTGCTAACAGAGGAAAAAAAAACCCCACACCTTTGTTCACATGGTACTAGCAGACATGACAAGGGTCTGACAGGTCATTTTCTTTTCTGAAGGTAACACTGCTCCAGAGAAAGCAGTGCCAAAACACAGCTTTTCTGCCTACCCTTTAGCTCCGTGGTCCACAACTAGCTAGGGATTTCAGTGCCGAACAGGAAAGGTCTTAAAGATGCCTGTCCTGGTTCTGGCATCTTATTGTCAGAATGGAAAACCATCCACTTTTAGAAGCTCAAGATCCAGAACTGCAGCTTGCCTAGCTCTGCTCGTCTTTAACAGACCTTTCACACTACCTGGCTGTCAGAGACAGGGGTCAGAATCTACCGGAGACAAACCCAATGTGCATAAATGGATATGAATTCAAGCAGGATGTCCACAACACGGAGGCAAAATCAACCACAATCCCCTAATACCTCATGACATGCAGGAATAAGCAACAAGTACTGAGATGCAGTTGTTCAAATCTTCCTTACCGGCTATTTAAGCAAGCAATGGCATTCACAAGTAAAAACATCTCTTGCATACACATTAATAGAGTCATTGACAATAAAGCAATGAAAACCCACGGTATTCTCTTGTCAAAGCTCAAAAGCAGACAAAAGAAGCACTGAGAACTTCTCCTATTTGTATTTCCCATGCTGCTGACTCAAAACCATAACATGGCCTTAAGCGTGTGAAGCTATTAACTCCAGCAGAGCTCTTCTCAAGCTCAGCCTTCACTCATCACTAAAATGAAATTAAAAATAACAAGAATCCCCCTCTCCCGACCCAGATATTTGCAAATGTACTGTTTGCCTCGAGGCCTTGACAAGCTCCAGTTCAGCAGAGCGAGGAAGGCAGCAGGTACGCTCCTGCTCCTCCAGGAAACCAGTGCCTGGCTCTAAGGTTGTGCTGCACTCCTCTTGGCCCCACGTTTCCTCCTGAACCAGACAGAACAGGCAGAAAATCTTTGGTGTGCCTTTAACTAGGCCATAAACCCCTCAAGATTTGAGGTGGGGTTTTGAGTAAAGAGGTTTCCAGATTCATTTTTAAAACAGCAGAGGTTCTTAAACTCTTCTCTTTCTACCAACACATTAAAAATGGGACTCTTATGGCCACTGCTAATAAAATGGGTGCAAGAAGGAGAAAATAGCACTTCAAATTCCTCTATCATAGTTGTTGACTTCAACTTACTCTATTGATAAATCTGAATTATTCAGTATCATCCCCATCCCTTCCCTGACCATTGCTCTTTAATGAGATAACCTTTCACACCGAGCAAACCCAATAGCACAAAATCTCATTAATCTTTCTAGTGTTTAGAGATACCTCAAGAGCTTCAAACATTTACCTCTCCTTCCCAGCAGCTGAAATGGTTTTAGGAGGATCATGGTTCATACCTCACATTCCCTGGAGCCAGAGATGGTATACGTGCAGGGCCCAGATCCATTAACCGATACATCCATGGTCTCAGAGTTTGTTGGCTTGTAGTCCACGTAATATTCCTGTAAAGGGGAGTTCATTTGCCTTTCAGACTCTCGGGCCTTTTTCCTGCGCCTCTTCATGAGCGTGTGCTGCTGGAGCTGTTTCATGCTGGCTGGATAACGCTTCCAGGACACGTAGATAACCAACAAAATCATGGCCACGGAAAGGAAGAGGGCTACGCTCCCAGCAATGATCTTGTGAAAGGAAACATGCTCATACTCCGGTTCCACTCCAGGTGTTGGGAGCTCTGCAGAAGGACTTGGCACAATAGATGTTGGCTGGTTGCTTTCCAGTTTGGAAATGGTAGGTTTGGGAATGAAGAAAGGTCTCTGGGGGGTTTTGGGTGGCTGGTATGACCTTTCAGTAACCACCACCTGGATTTCAGCACAGATATTATATGTTTCCACAGCATCGCTCACTTTTTCACCCTGGATATGTTTAGGGCCTGCACATATCATAGTGCTTTCCTTATTTCCCTTGAAATTCTTAAGCCAAGTAAACAGAGGGCAAATGCTTCGAGTACATTCCCACATATTTCCGGACAGAGTGATGGAGATGAGCGAGATCCACGTATTGATGGTCTCCTGAGAGATGTTGGTAAGTTTGTTGGAATCCAGGTTCAGCTTTTGCAGGTTAGGGAGGCACTGGAAGGTCCCAGGCTCTACCCCTGTAATGTCATTTCCTGATAAATCCAAGTTGTGCAAGGAACTCCAAGTCCACGTTAACCCTTGGCTAATAGAGCGGATCCGATTCCACTGCAAATAAATGGAGCGGAGGTTGAAGAGGCGCGGGAAGTGGGCAAAATTGATCTTAGAAAACTGGTTGTGCTCCAAGTGGAGCTCTGTCAACTTCAAAAGGCCAGCGAAAGCGTTACGGGATAAGCTCCGCAGGCGGTTGTAGCCCAAATCCAGGAAGTCCAGGTTCCGGCAGTCCTGGAACACTCGGATGGGAACGGTTTTCAGCGAGTTGGACCGCAAATGCAGGATCAGGAGTTTCCGGAGGCCCTTGAACTGCTCAGACTGCAACACCTGCAACTTGTTGTAGGACAGGTCCAGGTTGCGGAGGTTGGGGACGGGGTGGAACGTTTTGTTGTGCAGATGGGTGATTTTGTTGGAGCTCAGGATTAATTCCTTCAGCCTGCGGATGCCCTGAAACGCATCCTCATCCACAGAGCTGATGTAATTATGGTCAAGATAAAGCCATATGAGCTGATTGAGGCCCGCAAACTGATTTGATTTCAGCTTCTGGATGCTGTTGTACCGTAAGGATAAGCCTTGAGACCCTCCAGAAATGTTCTGAGGGATGTCTCTGAACGCATGGGACTCGCAGTACACGATCTTGCCATCACATCTGCAGTTCTTGGGGCAAGCTCGCTGAGCCCCTGCGAGCATCACAAGCAGCACGGTAGGAAGCAGCACTAACACCACACTCATGCCTCTCAGCTGCTTAATTAAATGGAAACCTACAATATTAAAAAGAAAACAAATGTGTATTGTAAAGCTATTAAAAGAAATTGCCAACAGATTACAGACATCAGTGGGGTTTCTAATAAAGCATTAGTGAGGCAGTGGATTTGGAAGACAACCTGTTTGCCTCCTGTCTTGAGCTTTTGTTGCGTAAATGCCTGTCCTTTTTGAGTTTCTGGCTTGCCATCTCACCGCCACCAGTACTACTCTTGTTATTCAATTACTTCAGTGTGATTTATGATGCTTTAGAAGGACCCTTAGAGCCTGTTCTCTATTCATTTTCCTCCTGTACATCATCTCTCAATGTAGCTGGTATATCTTTACCGCTAGATGCTGAGGTTTTAACAATAAACATATTTGTCAAGTCACTGTGCTGAATGCTCCGTAGTGCTGGAAAGGAAATGAACCAAAGCTGCTGGTCTTTACATGCTGCTAAACGTGTTCCTTCTTAAAAGCAACTTACAGTCCAATGCCTCCAAAAATTACAGCAAAAAGTGAGAAATCTACTCATCAGGAAGTTTGATCCATCTTTAAAATGTATATTTATTGTAAAATTAGACCCTAAGTAAAGGCTTTCCTTTGTGCACTGGGTCATTTGTTTGTAAGAGTAGCTTTAAGGAGGTTACTCATCATTTTTATGTACCTAAAATACATAAACAGATGCAAAGAAACAGACGTTCTACCATACAGAGAAGTAAACCACGGAATGCTAGTATGGGACCCCAGTATCAGGAGCATGGTAGAAGACATATTTCTACCAAACAATCATAGCTTTAACACATATTCATTTCAAGTTGTCTACATGTAGCTGTGAATACCTAAGCAGTTGTTATTTTGTATATTCATTATATACTCTATGAAATACAAATAATGCTGCTTCAGAGCAGCAAAGCACAGAAAGTTTAAAGGAGTATATTCCTATTTCAAGTCTCCTCTCTCTTCCCCAGCTCTACTGATGTAAAGACTTTGCATTTGAGATGCCACATTTATCACACAGGAGCAATGCTGGTATGTGAGGACAGGCACATTTCCCCCATTCTTGGAATAAGGAGGAAAGGAGGTGGAGGGGTTGTCAGAACACCCAACATCCATTCGCACGCTCGCCTTCGCCTCTGATGATTTTAGGACTGGTGCCTCTGTCCAGAGTTGCAGCCTCCCTAAGACTGACATGCACTCCTCTAACAGGAAATATTTGAAGGGTGGTATCTCATCAATAAATAATTACTTTATTATTTGTCACACACACAAAAGCACCCCTGTGCTGCAGTTATTCAATCCCATTTGAAGCCAAGGGGCATGCTGCAAGACAATTCTTAATCTAAAATGCCCCTGACTGTCACAGTCATAGACGATATGTCTATTTATATGACTTTCACTTTAACAGCTAGCTTTTTAATGGAAATCCTCATCTCTTTGCTACTGCCTATGTGCCAGCAGCAGTCAGCTCAAAATCTGTTCTGGCTGTTCCAGACTTGGGGGCTGGGGGGGGGGGGGGGAACGAAGGAAGGAAGGAAATAAACCTGTCACACTTGAAAAAACAAGACTGGCAAATGCCTGCTGGAGACCTACAGCAACCTTAGGGGGATCTTTTCAAAGCCCACACAAGCCTTTTCAAAACCATCTATAAAAGAAAACCTATCCCCCCCCCCCTTCCGTTTGCTTCCCACATACTGCAAAGTGTTAATGGTCCTTTCTGAGAGCCTGAATAATAATACCAGTAGAAGCCCATTGAATAGAGATCTAAACACAGCAGAAATGCTGTGTGAGCCTCATGCATACATGTACTTATCTAGACGAGTGCAGGTGTGTAGGAGGCTTGTGCAGGCAGCAAACGTCCTCTCTCCAGCCCTCAACTCGGTGCATGCATGTACAGACGAATTACATATAGAACCACTGCAGGAGGAAAGGTGTGTGTGTGTGAGGGGGGGAATACATGATCTAAAAATACAATAGCAAGTACAGTGAGTCACCTGGCAAAGGAATGCACTGCTGCTGCTGCTGCTTAGGCTGTTTCCCCCTCCTGAACAGCTTAGTAATCCAGCTGAAAAATAAACCATCCAGCTGCAGCTCTGCTACCAAACAAACAAGAAAAGTTCACTTACCCATCCTTCTGTCATCCACAAACGTCCTCCTTTGCCTTTCTCCAGCTGTTTTCTTCTCTCTCTTCCCTTCTCTGCTCCCCCCTTTGCCTCTCTCTTTTGAAAACTGGTCTCTTTTCCTTAAACCATCAGAATCTTCATGTCACGGCACGGCTGCCACTCACATCACCTCCATCCAGCGTGCGTGCCAGAAACCCACACAAAGTTCCCTAGAGAGGACAAGCAAGAATTTTGGGGATGAGGAAGGGAAAGGATAGGGAAGGGGTTGGGGGTGGGGAAGACAGGACGAAGGATGGAGGGGGGGGAGTGTGGGGGGGTAGGGAGGGACTCTAAGCTCTGAGAGCCATTGTGTAAGTCATCAGAGAACCATCAGCATTAAGTGGCAATCTGCAAGGCAAAGCTACAGCAGGCGATGAAGGTAAACCAACTTCTCTGGGAGAAATGAAAAGCTCTTCCCCGGTACCTAGCATTTGTCATTCTGCTGCCTTTAGCCATTCCCAGGCACAGCATTCCATCCTCCGGCTCCCCAGCTCCCGAGCAAGGCAGGCCTCCCGTGCTGGGTAAGACCCCTGTTTAAAAGCTACGCAGGAGAGGTTTATCCATTTAGCTGCTCAGGTTTAAAGTGTTTTGTAGCTGTGCTGAGAAGCAGCTCTTGTCTAATTCAGAAGGCTTTCCAGAGAGTGATGATGCTTTGGAGCTTGTTGGTGCTAATGTTCTAGTTTGTGATACACTGAGTGCCCTCCACTGGAGAAAACAGATCGCACATTAAAGGCATGAACAAGTGATCCTGTCATTGCTATGCAGACTTTCTTCCTTTGGAAGAGAAAATTAAAGACACAGCATTGCCTTGCCCATCATTATCCCCTCCCGTATCCCTCTGCCCTCCCTAGATTATTATGTGGTTATATTAAAGATTTGCTGGCACAGAGTGGAAAACACTGAACAAAACTCCTGTTCCCTGGGTATTTGGCAACCTGCTCTGTTTCTAACCCACCTGACCTGTGTGTTTTTCTTGGGCTAATTCTGAACTGTTTTGTTTTTCCTCTATGCACAGGGTGAGGACAGGAGATGCATGAAAAGTGTAATCAATGTTAAAGGGCTGAAGTGCACAAACTGATCACACCAAAGGCACTGAACTGCACCCATCAAACCCAGCGCAAACATACTGAAAACAGCAGTTTTTCTCTTCTAGTCTAAGTGTCTGAGTCTGATAAACAACCCAGAACTGAAGCTGCAGAACTAGTGACACCTTTTTTCTCTAAGCCCCTCCTCTGCCCCAGCTCTCCCCCATTCAGAAACAGTGATTTCTCCCAGCCATGATGCTGGTCTGGACCTCAGCAGACTTCACCCATAGCCTGAGCGGTGTGATCTAGGGTATGACACTGACACCCTCTCACCCCCTGCTATTTGGCTCGATCACTCGGGCTTGAATCAATGCTCACCCAGTACAATGAGAAGAAGTCAAGGGGATCTGGAGCAAGCATGGTACCACACTGCTCCTCTGAGCTGGTTCTGGTCCTGGCAACCAGTATCAGCCTCAGCAAAGCCCCACACAGACACACAGGGACCATTTTGGGTTTCAAAGCAAATCTGGGCTTCTCCAAGGGCAGCACCACCTTGCTGCTGAGCATTCCTAACCTGCCTTCCTAGACCTCATGTATCTGTGCTGTCTGTCCAGCTGCTCCCTCCTTTCCCTGTGCCACACAGACAGCAGATATGCCATAAACAACTCCCCACCCAAACCTTGAGTTTAGATGCCAAAACGGTGGCAGTGCTTTTTAGGAAATCTGTCAGGAGCTAACCATTATGATTTAGTTATCTCAGTACTTCCCACTCTGACTCGAGAGCACCACGCTCTTGTGAGACCTCACCTGGAGCATTGTGTGCAGTTCTGGTGTCCTCAACATAAAAAGGACATGGATCTGTTGGAACAAGTCCAGAGGAGGCCATGAGGATGCTCAGGGGACCTGAGCAGCTCCTGTATGAAGAGAGGCTGAGAAAGATGGGGCTTTTCAGCCTGGAGAAGAGAAGGAGACCTCATAGCAGCCTTTCAGTATCTGAAGGGGGCCTATAAGGATGCTGGGGAGGGACTCTTCATTAGGGACTGTAGTGATAGGACAAGGGGTAATGGGTTAAAATTTAAACAGGGGAAGTTTAGATTGGATATAAGGAAGAAATTCTTTACTGTAAGGGTGGTGAGGCACTGGAATGGGTGCCCAGGGAGGTTGTGAATGCTCCATCCCTGGCAGCTTTCAAGGCTAGGCTGGATGAGGACTTGGGTGGCATGGTTTAGTGTGAGGTGTCCCTGCCCATGGCAGGGGGGCTGGACCTAGATGATCTTAAGGTCCTTTCCAACCCTAACTATTCTATGATTCTACGCTCAGCATGTTACAGCCCATATCCCTATGGTTTCTGTGTACTACTACTTCTCATTCTATTCTAGAACAAAAATGAAACTTATGTGAATCTCAAGGTCAGATTTTGGCCTCTTTTGGTTTATATATTCCTGTTCCTGGATCAGATCAACAGACCATTGCCTGGCCCTGCAATCCATCCCAACTGCAGCCAGCCCTGCCCAGCCTAAGTACCTGGTCTTGACCAGGGATCTCCAGTGGAGTAAAAAGACTGGGACACAGAATGGGCCAAGTAGTTCAGCTTCATTAATAAAACAATAAAATCCATAAAACAAGCCCCAGAAGCCAACTTTTCATCTCCTGAATCTGCATCCAACTGCAACAGCTTAAAGCTTCTGATGAAAATAAAATGAGTTTCTTTGTCCCCTAATGAGACTCCGTCGCTATCTATAGATCAGAGATTGATCTATGTGAGAAAAATACCATAATTAATCACTATTTTCACTCTGAACTGGCCTGCAATACACACAGCTCTCTTAACAAGATGCAGCATTTCATTACCATAAATGATGTTGAAAGTGCTTTTTTCCACCTCTCGACTAACTACCTCTGCATTCCAGTCAGTCCCATTTTAGCAACGTTCATATTTATTCATGCTATAATTTCCTAGCAAAGTAAAAGCTAAAGTATGCCGTTATTACACCTGCCATTGATAGCTCTCCAGGAAGAGTCCATTTGAAATTCTGCCAGATCCCAGAGTGATGTCAAAAGAAACTGTTCCCATTTCCAGGGGAAGTCTTTTCCCGTCTCCTTTGATCCTTCAAAAGCTGAAGCAGTGTTGTCATGAGCTGTCCTACTGCCGCCTGCTCTCTGAGCCTCAAAATCCCCATTGTTCCTACTCAAAGCTTTAAATAATTTTGTTTCCATAAAACCCCTGTGATACTGTACCGGAAAATGTCAGAAATTCCCAACTGGAAAACTTCAGCCCTAAACCCAAGCGCGCTTTCACTCAATGGCATGAACGTGCATTTACCGTCCCCCTTTTGTGTGTTTTCTACTAAAATAGAAAACAAAACTACGTGAATATTTGCCAGGAGGAAGAAATGGGGAAGTTTTAATCAGTGAATTGAAAAGGGAAAAACCTCATGGACAAAAGGAGGAGGAAAAAGCCCACTTGTGGTTTTGTTCTGTTTCCTTCATGCAGCAAGAGGCAGAAGATACCTACCTGAGACACCCGAACTGTTGTAAGCGCTCATCTGGTCCTCATCCAACTGGCAAATTTTCCCACCACTTGACCAAGAGTTCCTTGGGTACATTATCCATACTAATAAGCTGTGTGTCATGGAATCTATAGTTTCTCTTCCAGGACAATGGAATTGCACAGGTCTCATTAAGGTGTTGATCAATAGAAACAGTTACATGGTATGCTGACACTGCAGAACGCACCAAGAGCCCTCACAACCTGCCTGTAAGGAAGAGAAGGACATATCCACATATTCCTCTAGTACCAACTGGTGGGATACTGGAGATTTACAGCCCTGAATAACTTCTCCTAGCAGCATCAGCAGTAGAACTACTCCTGGAAGGAAGCGGATGCTCTTTAACCAGTTTCCTGCCCGTGGAGACCTCGCAGGTTTGCACTCTTCTGCACACTCTACTCAAAATGCTCCTTAGTGAGAAAGACATGAGGAAAATAAGCAAATTTAACAGGTACTCGTGCCTACCCAAGGTATTGCCAGATCCAGGTTTACAAAGCTCAGGACTCAGGCAGCAAACAGCACTTTATATTTCCCTTTGATCTACCCAGCCATTAGACTGTATTCCTGTTGTATTTTCAAGGCTTTACAAAATCATTCAGACTCCCTGGCTAGATTTAGAGGTTTCAGGCACACAAAGAACAATTGCAGTCATCCAGGCAGGATGTAGAACAAGAATCCTCCCTGAAATATTTCCACAGCAGACCCATAATTTCTGCAATGACATCCATTCCATAAAGATGAGTGGCCTTTATCTGAAATCCACAAAGGATGGAGGAGCCACACCATTCCTGGGCAAGCTGCTGCTGTGTGTAACAATCCAAGTGACATGAGTCAGAGCTCTTGGGAAGCACCTGTGTCCAGCATGAGCCAACATCAGTGTTTCCCCCTGACAAATGTCAGTCTTACATCAGTCACAACAGTCACACACAAGCCTTTGCTCCCACTATGCAACCAAAGGCACAGCCCTAACACAGAATCTAGGAGACCTCTTGCTCTTTAGTGTATCTACAAAGGTTGAACTAACTCAAAGCATTAATTCAAGTTGTCTTGGCTGTGACGAATCCCAGCTTCAGTCAGTGCATCTCACCCAAGACAGCAGAAAACACTCCAGGACAAGCTGGACACTACACCAAGTATTGGGTTCAGATGCTCTCCAGCTTTTTTCAAACCATTATTCTCACCAGGATTCATTTCTTCTTCATGGAATTAAGGTTTTACTTAATTCTTTCTCAGATGTGTAGTAACTTTTATTTATACATTATCTGCTTAGTGAGAAATGTCTAATCTCAGCTTCATTGCTTTTAAAGCCTCTAATATAGCCTTAGACAACTCAATCCAAAAATAAGCAGGCAGCCCAACAATACAGACATTGCATATCCTAAGATTAACAAGAGCACAGCTCCTCCTCAAACGCAAGCCCTGCTTTTCTATCCAGTGCCAAACCCTTAGTTTACAAGTCTAACAAACAGTTTGCAGGATCATGTATCAGAATTGGCTGGCAGCAGGATAGAGCCAAAAGACACTTAAGATGTTTACTGCTGTCAGCATTTGGGAGTCTGAAACAAAAAGATGGTTGCAACCACACCAGTTCAACCACCCTCCATGTATGGAGCGTGTGGTGCACTGGGCAAAGTGGGAAACAAAATGCTGCTGCTGATTTTCTGGAGTACGCAGAAGCCCATCTGTGATCCCCAAGTGAAGCACTGAGCTATTTAATTAAAGTAACAAGAAGAGAACATTCCAGATGGATAATTATTCAACACAGGGTTGACTAGAGACTGGTAGAGGTACGAAGTCATGTCCATGTTATTAGGAACTGTATCTTTAAACAAAGTTCTTCCCAGTTCTGGGATTCATGGTGAGGAGGTGCCCATTATCGATCCCTAGCAGTGTTCAAGGCCAGGTTGGACACAGGGGCTTGGAGCAAGCTGCTCTAGTGTAAGGTGTCCCTGCCCGTGGCAGGGGTTGGAACTGGATGAGCTTTAAGGTGCCTTCCAATTCAAATCTTGTTCTTTTCCTGCAATGGTTTGTCCTCTTTGGCCCCAGCTACACCCTCATCACTCACTCTTTCCAACCACTTAGCATTATTTCCAATGGGAAGTATTGACACCTCC